GTGCTTCACATTCTAGAGTAGCCTAGACTCTTCAAAAAACTCAATGGCATTTTAAAAATGAGTCTTTTCTAAAGAGACATAGCCAAGTAATACAGGATGTAAACCTTGGTTCAATTATTTAGACTAGATCCTTTTAAAGCAAAAGTTATAAAAGATATTCTGAGGGAAAATAAGGAAATTTGAAATATGGGCTAGAGATATTACTGAATTTTTTTTTTTGGTACCAGGGATCAAACTCGGGTCCTTGCGCTTGCAGGGCAGGCGGCGGAACCACTGAGCTAAATCCTCAGCCCCATTACTGAATTTTTAAACGATATTACAGCTATAAGGAATGTTCTTTAAAATGCCCTATTAGAAGATGCATACTGAATTGCTTAGTCAATGTAATATCTCCAACTTAAATTTTTAAGTAATTTGAGAAAAGTGAACACTTATGACAAAATATTAACAATTATAGAATTTATATAGTCCCCAAATTATGATGGTTCAATTTGAAATTTTTTACTTTATAATGGTGTGAAAGCAATATTACATTTAGTAGAAACCCTACTTCAAATTCTGAACTCTTCATGGGCTAAGGATATGTGGAAAGATACTCTCATGATGCAGGTCAGTTGCAGTGAGCTACAGCCTGGTCAGACACACAATCACGATTGTAAACAGCCAATACCCTACAGTGTGTTGTGTTGCTAAGATACAACATTCAGTAGGTTTAGAGTATTAAATACATTTTTTACTTAAGATATTTTCAACTTACAAGAAAAAACGTTAAATTAAAAGTCTTCAAGGGATGGGGATCCAGCTCAGTGGCACTACGCCTGCCTTGCAAGTGCAAAGTCTTGAGTTCGATCCCCAGTACAGCCAAAAAAAAAAAAAAAAGTCTTCGAAATTGTATTTATAATTACAACTATACTGCACATAAAGAAAATGCATCAGAGGCTGGGGATTTAGCTCAGTGGTTCCGCCGCCTGCCTCACAAGCGCAAGGACCCGAGTTCGATTCCCAGTACCAGAAAAAAAAATTCCTTAAGAAAATGCATTAGAAATAAGATTAAAATTACTTTCTAAAAAGACTGAATATTATCTAATCTCAAATGGGTAATTTATCTCTCACGACCTCTATAACAACAGATGGTCAATGGTTCATTTTATTATTTCCTCACAAAATAACCGTAAGATACACAGTGGTAACTGCTAAAAAACCTACCTCCCACTCTTATACCCAGAATTGTCTTTGAAAACCATCGACTTTTAGCGATGCTTTTCCCATCATTTGTGAAAATTATAAAGAAGAGAAAAAATTTAGCAAAGGGGATCAAGAGATGGAGGGAGGGGTGGGAGAGCAGGACAAGGGGATGAAAATAGAGTTAAGATGTTCAACAGCAAAAGAAACAATCAAAAATGAAGAAACAACTTACAGAATGGGGAATTTTTTTTGCCAGCTGCACCTCGGTTAGAGAGCTATCTAGAATATATAAAAAACTCAAAACAAATTAGATCCCCCAATAAAAGACCCAATCAAAAACCGAGCAACCTAAACACACTTCTCAGAAGATGCACAAATGGCCAACAAATACATGAAAAATGTTCAATATCTCTGCTCATTAGAGAAATGCCAATTAAACAACACTAAGATGCCATCTTACTCCAGAAAGAATCAAATAATAACAAATGCTGGATAGGCTGTGGGGGAAAAAGGAACACTTCTACATTGTTGGTGGGAGTGTAAACTAGTCCAACCATTGTGGAAAACAGTATGGAGATTCCTCAGAAAACTAAAATTAGAAATTCCATTCAACCCAGCTATTTCCCTTCTAGGTATCTTCCCAAAAGAGTTAAAGACATCATATTAGTGATATATGCATATCCATTTATAGCAGCACAATTCATAACTAAATCTTGGAAGTGGCCTATATACCCATTAACAGATGAAGGATAAAGAAAATGTGGTATTCATACATAGTGGGCTACAACTCTGCTATAAAGGAGGATAAACTTGAGACTTTAAGGAAAATGTATATACTTTGAGACCATAGTGTTAAGTGAAATAAATCAAACACATGAGCTTAAATACTGCATGGTCTTAGATCTTAGATGAGAAACACAATATAAATAAAGAGCAAAATAACATAATAGAAAACAGGTAGATCTTTTACAAACGAATAAGGGACCAAGAGATGGAGGAGGGGAGAGGAAGGGGAAGAGGAGGGGAAGTAAAAAGAATTAAGATGTGTCATGTACATGTACCAACATGTGCTTTAAAAGACTATGTACATGTACCAACTCCTCATAGTACATGTAACCATTGTGTATTGCAAATATATACTAATGAACATTTTTAAAAAACAAAATTTAATCAGTTGTATACTCACATATTGTTTTTAAGTCAAACCCAGCTATACATGTAAGAAAGCTATGATAACATATTCATCTAAAAAGTGAAGTTATAAAATGTATACGGTAAATTAGCCCATTTGCTGGCAATGGGTTTCAAAAGCAATGTGAAGAACACTAATTCCACTTAGCCGCAGTATCTGTAAAAAAATCCACTAACTTAAGCTACCAAATCCATGTGTAAAACATGTGGAGCTAGTAAGACTCTTGTGAGATTGGTCGTAGCATTGCATTTTTAATAGCCAAAATTTGGAAAAGTGTCAGATAATGGGAAATGGGTATACTGATATGACATATTCCTTAAGGTGGAAATATTGTTTTAAATCATTATTGAACAGAGGGTGGCACAACCGTTTTTCAAAAAAAAAAAAAAAAGCACATTTGCATACATATCAGTTATCCCCTAATATGTGAAGAATGATTCTCTCTATAGTGACACTATAGGCAATTTTTATTTGGTGTGTGGGTGTGGGTGTGTACGTGTGTGTATCCTTCATTCAAAGAATGTTTATTTCTTTTACATTCAGAAAAAATATATTCAGAGAATCATAGAAAAATATAAATTAAAAAATCTTTGAAATATCAAACCCCTATTTAACAATCAGACTTCAAGTAGTAGACTTCAGTTTTGCTAAACTGTACAAACATGAAATGATAAAAGTTGGTATAAAAACTTAAACAGTGATAAAAAGCAGAGTGTTTACAATTGGCCACCCTTTACATTTTGAAGAGTGAACTAATATTCTTTAAACACTATACCTAACCATTATTCAAAGGTACCTAGTTTTCTGGAATATTGCAGGTAAATTGTACTTACAATTGCACGCTAGAATGCACACGTTAACCAGAAAGCAGTGTATTGTAACTGAACCAGAATGACCTGGGTTAAATTCTTAGTTTGGCCATTCGATGTTGACGTAACAATCTAAATCTCATTTCAGCAAAAAGTAAAGCATACATATCTAAGTGAAGCAGCAAACAGAATTGAGTCCAGGTACACAACAGAAATTACAATTTAATACTTAGCAAGGTACACGCCCACTGTATTTACATTTTACTCATTCTCTTCTGATATCCCACAAGCTTTCCCTTGGGTCAATATAGACAATCAGAATGATTTCTGATTTCCCCTACTAGGAAAAACAATTGTCCTTTTTTAAACTGTAATTTAGCATTAAGAAGGAACCTCCATGTATTTCTTCATACCATTAATGTTAAGAATGTTACTCAATATTTTAGGCAATATCATCTTTGTGAAAAGATTTCTCCCACTTTAAAAATATTTCCCAGGCATGGCTGTGGATGCCTATAATCTCAGCTACTCAGGAGGCTGAGGCTGGAGGATTACCAGTTCAAGGCCAGCCTGGGCAACTTAGCAAGGCTGTCTCAAAAGAGCTGAGTATATGGCTCAACACTCCCTGGGTTCAATCCCCACTTTCCACTCCCCCCTCAAAAGAGAGGGAGAAATACTTAAAATGCTTAAGAAATTAGGTTATCTTGGATGCAAATAAATTATATAATAGATGGTTTCTTCTTAACTGCGACCTCCTCTCTAGGAAACTGTAGCAAGGCAAGCTATATAACCTTTCAGTAGTTAACATACATTTTTGGTGTCATTTTTCTTTTTCACTCTTATCAATTCATTATAGTGTTTTACTTTTCAAAACAGAGATAATACCACCTCTCATTTAAAGCAGTTTGAAAATTAAATGTCAAATTGTACAGTATACTGTTGGGACAGTAGTGGGGGCTCAAAAATACTAATTTTACATGAGAGGCTCTAAATGTTTAAATATAGTTTGATGTATGCTTACTTTCACAATTTCCTAATAAAACTGAACATGGTCCAGATTCCCTTTGAAATAATTAAAATGACCAAAAATAAATGACTAAATATCAAAACTAAAGTGAAAAATGAAGTTATCTCCAATAGTCAAGGAGAAAACAAACTAGATTTAATCTGTAATTAATTTGAGGGCTTGTCTGAATTGATGTGTGATTTAACTCAGCTTACTAATTTGTTTTTCATCTAAAAATGTCATCAAATATATTTTCTATTTACAGATGACTTAAACCAAATTATTCTATATCTTTTCAATACATAAATAATTTGTAACAAAATTAATTTTAAAAAATTAAAGTAAATCCTAAAAATAAGACCTGTAAATATGTCCAGGCTGAGCCGGGGATTTAGCTCAGTGGTTTTGTCGCCTGCTGCGCAAGCGCAAGGACCCGAGTTCGATCCTTGGTACCAAAAAAAAAAAAAAAAAAATGTCCAGGCTGTTACAAAATTCAACAATGGGGCCAGGGATTTAGCTCAATGGTTTCATCGCCTGCTGTGCAAGCGCAAGGACCCAAGTTCAATCCCTGGTACCAAAAAAAAAAAAAAAAATCAACAATGAAAGCACAAAAGTTAAATAAAAGCCACCAACAATTAGAATTTGGTGCACAGAAGCAGTAAAAACAGGTTATAGAAAGACAGCACTAATGCTCTCCTGAGTGGCTACAGGAAGGTGGAAAATGCCCTTGGAGTTGTGTTGACTATAGTTCTTAATTTGTTTCCAAGCCCTTGAAAACCTACCCATATACAGGAAAATCTCACAGTTCATCAGTGCAAAAATTTTATTTCTCCGTTTTCTCCCCTCCCCACCACTTTACAAGTTCTGAAATTGTACTTAATCCACAGTATTCCTTTTCCTTTTATTATCTGTAACCAGTCATGTAAAATATAAGAAAAAAAGACCACTAAACTAATCTCAGTCTCTCTCCCCATTGCTACAGCAAATTTAGGATAAATCTACAGCACTCATTTACTTTAGCTGGTTCTGATACTGAGGCATACTTTTTTATTTGTGAATCGACACCTAAAGATTTGGCTAACTGTACAGCATTTGAATCATCACTGATCAGTGTCCCAAGAGCCACAAGAAGTCTAAAAGTGGCTTCCAGGTCTTGTACAACTTCCAAGATTGTGCTAATTACTGACAAGCATTGAGCTTTTCCTTCAATGTTATGGTCTTTATGAAAACAAACGGAATAGTTCAAGGTCAGTGTAGCCAGAGCAATATGAATGTTCTTATTGTTCCCTGATTTCAGTTCTATTGCATGGGAAATTAGTGATTCCCTCTGGGACATCATGAGCTTTTGTCCTGCCTGGCCAACAAAGCAATTGCAAAAAGTCCTGAGAGCAAGTAGCTGGTTTGCTGGCTTTCCTTTAGGGTTCAGAAGACTGATAAGATGTCTGCTGAAGTGAGCCCCTTCCTTTTCATTGCAAAAGTTCTCATTCACACTGGGATGCTTAATTGACAATCGAAGAATGTCCAGTGCAGGAAACACAATGTCTGTTAAAAAGAAAATTTCAAAAATTAATATTTTAGAAAATCTAGAAAATTCCACATGACTTTTACTCAACTTTCAAGGCTTTTATTTCCCCTCTACAAAATTAACATATCATACTAAAATTAACATCATTATAGTAAATGGTCAAAAACTGAAAGTTTTCACTCTAAAATCAGGAACAAGACAAGGATCCCCACTATCACAACTCTTATTCAATATAGTTCTAGAAACATTAGCCAGAGCAGTTAAATAAGAGGAAAAAAATAAAAGGAATATGGATAGGAAAGGAAGAAGTTAAATTATCACTATTTGCTGATGACATGATACTCTACATAGAAGACTAAAAACTCTACCAAAAGTCCCCTAGAATTAATAACCAAATTTGGTAGCTTAGCAGGATACAAAGTCAACACTCAAAAATCAATAGCATTCCCATATATGAATAACAAACTTACTGAGACAGAAATCAGGGAAACAACACTTTTCACAATAGCATCAAGAAAAATGAAATATTTAGAAATCAGTCTAATGAACAAGTAAAAGACCTTTACACTGAAAACTACTGTACTCTGAAAAAGCGTTCAAAGACAGTATCAGAAAATGAAAAGACATCCCTTGTTCTTGGATAGCCAGAGCCAATATAGTAAAAATGACCATACTTCCAAAACTGTTACACAAATTTAATGCAATCCCAATCAAAATGCCAATAGCATACCTCACAGAACTAGAGAAAACAATCCTAAAATGCATATGGAAGAGATGCAGAATAGCAAAAGCAATTTTGGGCAGCAAGAGCAAGGCAGGGGGGATCACATTCTCCAATTTGAAGTTATATTACAAAGCTACAGTGATAAAAACAGCATGGTATTAGCAAAGGAACAGATCTGACCATCAATGGAACAGAATAGGAGATCCAGAAACAATGCTCTCCAAGTACACTCAGCTACCTTATCTCTCTCTTTTTTTTTTGGTACCAGGGATTGAACTCCGGGCCTTGCGCTTGTGAACAGCCACCTTATCTCTGACAAAGAGTCTAAACACCTTCACTGGAAGAAAGATAGCCTCTTTAATAAATGGTGCTGGGAAAACTGGATTTCCAAAAATTAAACCTAAAACTGTGTCTCTCACCATACACTGAACTAAAATCAAAATGGATCAACAGAGTAAAGAGACAATATATAGAATGGGAAAAATTTTGCCAGCTATCTCTCAGACAAAGGACTAACATCTACAATATATAAAGAACTAAAGAAAATCAGACCTCTCAAATTTAAAGACCCAATCCAAAAATGGGGATCAGAAATGAATAGACATCTCTCAGATGAAGAAGTACAAATAGCAAATAAACATATGAAAAATGTTCAACATCACTGGTCATTCAAGAAATATAAATTAAAACAATACCAAGTTCCTACCTCACTCCAGAAAGAATGGGTATCATTGGGCCAAGGATTTAGCTCAGTGGCACTCTGTCTGCCTCATAAGAGCAAGGTCCTGAGTTCCATCCCCGGTACAGGGTAGGGGGGAAAGAATGGCTATCATCAAGAAATCAACCAATAACAAATGCTGATGAGGCTGTGGGGAAAAAGAAATCCTTCTCCACTATGTTGGGATTGTGAGTTGGAAAAAACCACTAGGGAAATGAGTATGAAGATTTCTAAAAAAAAAACCCTAAAACTAGTTCCATCTGGCCCAGCTGTGCTTCCAGGTATCTCCCTGAAAGAGTTAAAAGCATCATACCACAGTGATATATGCATACTCATGTTTACAGGAGCACAACTTATAGTAGCTAAATCTTGGAAATAGCCCACATGCTCATCAACGGATGAATGGATAAAGAAAATGTGGTATGTATATACAATGGAGTATTCCTCTGCCATAAAGAAGGATAAACGAGTCATTTTTAAGAAAATGTATGCACCTCAAGACCACAATGTTAAGTGAAATAAACTGGACACACAAGTTTAAATATGGCATTGTTTCTCTTGCGTGAGAAACCTAAAGGGTAAATAAGGAGCAAAACGGATGATAGATATTGGGAAGAGGGAAGTGTTCAAATGGAAAGAGAAACAAGGGAGAGGGTTGAGGGGAGAGAAGGAAGGGAAAAAGGATTTAAAAAAAAAAAAAAAAAAGAGGGCTGGGGATTTAGCTCAGTGGTTCTGGTGCCTACCTCACAAGCGCAAGGTCCTGAGTTTGATCCCCAGTACCAAAAAAAAAAAAAAAAAAGAAGGGAAAAAATGGAAACAAAGCTTTTGTAATTGGGGAGGGGAAGAAGGGCTGAAGGGTGGGGAGGAGAATGAGAAATAAAGAATTAAAAGACATTATGTACAGGTACAAATTCCCTATGATGAATGTGATCATTATGTATTACAAATATATAGTAATAAAAATAAATTTTAAAAAAACTTTAAAAAAACCAAAATTAACACATGGTCATTTTAGAAAACGTGAAAAACCACATGCGTTCTTTTAAAAATATGTATACTTCTGAAAATCATATTGACTTTTCCATTTATATACACTGGATTTATTGCTATAAAATTAAATATGCTATAAAATAAAGAAACTCTCAAGTAATCAAATAGCCTGACATATAGTAAGTGTTCAATAATGAACTGAACGAATGCAGTGGGGACCCTGGCTTTTAAAAATCTTGAACAAGATCAAAGTGTTGAACAGAGAGTTATTTAGAGAATTCCAGTTAATGCATGGTGATAGAATGCTCACAGGTTGGTGGGAGCTTTATAATCAACAGCCTAGGTAGATCCCATCAGAATACAAGCACTGGACAATCTTATCACTGTAATTCTAACATTATGTACTCCATAATATAAAGGGGAGTATGCACCATCCTTTATAAGGATCTTCACAAATATATATATATAAACCAAAATCTAACTGTATCATTAGAAGGAAACACAGAGATAAATACATCATGTAATCAATGAAATCTACAATATAGAACATTTCAGTAAAAAAAAAAAAATTTTGTCCAATAAATCAGTGGCATAAAAAAAATGGGGGAGGTGCACTGCTGCACCTGCCTCTCAAGCTCAAGGTCCCGAGTTTGATCCTGGGTACCAAGAAAAACAATAAAAATGGAGCTGGATGTGGTAGCAAGTGCCTATAATTCCAGCAGTTAGAGGCTGAGGCAAGACGATCTTTAATTTGAGGCCATCTTCGGCTACATAGCAAGACTCTGTCTCAAAAAACAAAAACATCTTTTCAGCAAGTATTTGTTAATTCAAGCAACCTAGGGTTAATAGCTCACAGAGAGTTTTTTTGGATAGCTTGTAGGTGATCCACAAAAGCTCTAAAAAAATATATACAAACTGCATGTAAGGGAATCATTACACAAAACTGAAAAAACACAGTGAATGTTTAAATTAAGAAGTTACAGTAAAAGACATACTGTCATTAACTGTCCTCAAAATACTCCCCCCCTTTGCTTCAAACACACTTATCCTATTGTTCTTTCCACTTCCTGAAGCAGTTCTGGAAGTCCTCTTTTGTGAGTGTCTTTAGTTGTACTGCTGTGACTGCCATGATGAACTGAACTGATTCAAAATGTTTACCTTTCATGGTTATACTGCTATGTGGAAGGGCCAGAAAGTCTCATGGTGCAAATCCATTGAATAAAGTAGATGATGACCCACAGTATGTTTTCACTAGCCTGCATTTCTGTTGGATGGCACCTGACAGCAACATTCACCATTATTTCTGATCACACCTTGTAGTCACTCACAAAGAACTTCAGAAATGCTTCAGAGCCGGGGATTTAGCTCAGTGGTTCTGCCACCTGCCTTGCAAGCACAAGGTCCCAAGTTCAATCCCCAGTACAAAAAGAAAAAGAAAAAGAAATGCTTCAGTGGCAAGAATTATGGGAAAAATGTGTTTGAAGCAAGAAGGAGCATTTTGAGGGGGGTTAAAGGCAATGTGTCTTTTACTGTAATAATTTTTAAAAATGTGAATGTTCACTGTATATTTTAACCACCCCTTATATTATAGATTGAAAATTCCTATTAGGAAAATTTGAAGTCTGGTTTTATTGCTTAGGTACTTCTGATCTGGAATTTTCAGAATAAAGATGATCAACTGGTACAGGCTATGCAAATATTTCAATATCTGAAAAAAACCCAAATCTACAACACTTTTCAATAGTTTGAAAGTGTTGGGACAACACTTCTTGTCCCAAGCATTTAAGATAAAGATATACAATCAACTTGTACCTTCAGATTCTCAAAACAAGATTATGATTACAGTGATTTAGTGACTTCTTTTAGTAAAGTTTTTCACAATTTGAATTATCCACGTTAACTCAGTCGAGAAACAACAGTAAAATTGAGAGCTTTATAATATTTTAAGCATGTTTATACCTTCAGGCCAGTTAATAGCTTTCCACAATATCTGCAGTTGCTGGGCTGTGGGTTTTTCTGAAGAACTGTCACATATTAGAGAAAGTATTTTTTCAAGAAGCACCAAGTCATCCTCAGTTAACTTCTTCTCTTCAGGTGCAGTTCCATTAAGTTCCTTCAGTTTTCCTAGAATCCAAAGCCAAACCTTCCAAATTATCTAACTATAGTTAGATTATATAAAAGTCAAAATTTTCAGTAAGAATATTCTACTGCACAACATTAAGACTTTTCTTGGCATTTGTCAAAGAAAACCATAAAAATCTTAAAAAGCTTTTTCTTTTTTTTTAAAAGCTAAACACTACATGGTAAAAGAGAAGTTACTGTGATCATTTTTATTTTACCTGATCATTTTTACTTTACCAGTCATTTCAATCTTTCTGCTTGTAATAAAGTATATTTGTGACCATTTCCAACAGTTTCAATGAAGTATCATATTATATAGATCAAAGTATAAGTCAGTCTCCTATTTGCCCAATGAAAACATAACTTTTTAGCCAACTTAAGTCAACTTCTACGGCTATCAAAAAATAGTCGAAGACTTAAATGCCTATTGATAATATTTAACTTGACTTAGTTTCATATGCATATTTGACATTACATTATTTAAAATTTTTACTTAGAATTGTCTTTTCTTCCTATATTCAAAATTTCCTCCAAACCTTTCAGTGATCTTTAATATCTATATCTTTGTCATCTCCACTACTTTGAGTCATCTAATACCATTTCTTGAAAAATCTTTACAAGAATAAAAAAAGCCCAAATACTTATCAGAAAGGTAAAGAAGATAAACATTTTAAAATTTTTATCAATCATAAATGGACCTATTTCACGACTCTTTGGCATTAAAAATTTTAACATTAACAAACTATTGAAAGCAAAATTTATTTAAGAAATGCCAAAAACTAGAAATCTCTTATAGTTTTAAAATGTCTGAAAGATGTTCATATGCTTCTTTTTCCAAAATAAAGAAAATCTGAGTGATTTTTATAAAGATAATATGATGTATAATAATGACCAAAAAACGCTCCCTTTTACTTAAGTGTGAATGTTATCTCAATTAAGTCTCAGCATGATATTTGTAACAAATAGAGACAGCATTTCTGAGTCCACAAAAAATACTGTCACTTTGTTTTTAGAAAAACAAATTAACAGAAAGCTATCAAAGAAAGTAGAGCAGTTTAATTTTTTTTTTTTTTT